TTGCTTCTTGAGTCTTACTTATCAAATATTTCTTACTCTGAGGTGAATATTTTCTCAAAATTCTTTCTCGGAGTTTTAAATACTTAGGTTTTATATAAGGGTCTTTAATCTGACGCATTTTTTAAACTACAGAGTATGAAGAAAGAAATACAATTTTATTTTCCCTTATATGGATTTTCAACTTTTTCAGTGCCATTTTTCAGTACTATTTCTATATTATTTTTTAAATTTTATTTAGTTATTTTTCAAGTACAGTTTTTTGTCTATTTCTCCCATCCCAGTCCCCCCGCCCCGTGCTCCCCACCTCCCTCCCATTTCCACCCCCTTAGTTCTCATCCCTGTGTCCTTCCTATTTGTTCCTCCAAATCCCTCCCCCTTTTTCCCCTTAACTTCCCTTCCCTCTCCCCTCTGGTCACTGTCCCCTTGTTCTCTATTTCAGTGTCTTTGTTTTTATTCTGCTTGCTTGTTTATTTTGTTGTTTAGCTTCCTGTTAAAGGTGAGATCATATGGTATTTATCTTTCAGCACCTGGCCTATGTCACTCAGCATAATGCCTTCCAGTTCCATCCATGTTGTTGCAAAGGGTAGGAGCTCCTTCTTTCTCTCTGCTGCATAGAATTCCATTGTGTATATGTACCACAATTTTTTGATCCACTCATTTGCTTATGGGCACCTAGGTTGCTTCCAACTCTTGGCTATTGTAAATTGTGCTGCTATGAACATTGTGGTACATAGGTTCTTTGATATTGATGTTTTAGGATTCTTAGGATATAATCCTAGCAGTAGAATTGCTGGGTCAAAAGGCTGGTCGATTTTCATTTTTCTGAGAAAATTCCATACTGTTTTCCATAATGGTTGCACCAGTCTGCAATCCCACCAACAGTGAACTAAGGACCCCTTTTCCCCACAACCTCTCCAACATTTGTTGTTTGTTGCTTTGTTTATGATGGCCATCCTGACTGGTATAAAGTGGTATCTCACTGTGGTTTTAATTTGCATCTCTCTGATAGCTAACGATATTGAGCATCTCTTCATGTGTCTCTGGATATTCTGTATGTCCTCCTTGGAGAAGTGTCTGTTCAAGTCCTTTTCCCATTTTTTAATTGGGTTGGTTGACTTCTTAGAGTGGAGTCGTGTAAGTTCTTTGTATATTTTGGAGATTAAACCTTTGTCTGAGGTATCATTGGCAAACATGTTTTCCCATACAGTTGGTTGTCTTTTTAATTTAATACTGTTTTCTTTAGCCACGCAGAAGCTTTTTTATTTTGATGAGATCCCATTTGTTTATTCTTTCCTTTATATTCCTTGCTCTAGGGGACATACTCAATGGGAAAAAACTAAAAGCTTTTCCACTAAGATTAGGAACAAGACAAGGATGTCCATTTTCACCACTTCTATTCAATGTAGTATTGGAAGTTTTAGCCACAGCCATCAGGCAAGAAAAGGAAATAAAAGGCATCCAAATAGGAAAGGAGGAAGCAAAACTGTCACTGTTTGCAGATGACATGATAGTGTACATGGAAAATCCTGTAGACTCTACCCCAAAACTGCTCGAACTAATTAATGAATTTGGCAAAACAGCTAGTTACAAAGTCAATATCCAGAAATCAAAGGCATTTTTGTATGCCAACAATGAATCAGCAGAAGCAGAAATCAAGGAAAAAATCCCATTCCATATAGCAAAAACAAAAATAAAATATCTGGGAATAAACCTAACTAAGGAGGTAAAAAACCTGTATGCAGAAAACTACACAGCCCTGAAGAAAGAAATCAAGGAAGACACAAACAAATGGAAACATATACCTTGTTCATGGATTGGAAGAATTAACATCATCAAAATGTCCATACTACCCAAAGCAATATACAGATTCAATGCAATACCTATTAAAGTACCAATGGCATATTTCACAGACATAGAACAAACACTTCAAAAATTTATATGGAATCATAAACAATCCCGAATAGCAGCTGCTCTTTTGAGAAAGAAGAACAAAGTAGGGGGGATCACAATACCTGATATCAAACTGTATTACAAGGCCACTGTAATCAAAACAGCCTGGTACTGGCATAAAAACAGGCACATAGACCAGTGGAACAGAACAGAGAGCCCAGAAATCAACCCAACTCTCTACAGTCAATTAATATTCGACAAAGGGGGCAGTAACATAAAATGGAGTAAAGATAGCCTCTTCAACAAATGGTGCTGGGAGAACTGGACAGCTACGTGCAAAAGAATGAAACTTGAGCACCAACTTACACCATATACCAAAATAAATTCAAGGTGGATAAAAGACTTAAATATAAGCCGTGACACCATTAAAGTCCTAGAGGAGAACATTGGCAAGAAAATCTCAGATATTTCACGCAGCAATATTTTTATATTATTTTTACTCTAGTCCAACCATTCTTACCATTTGTAAGGGCAGATTCCTTGTCATATTAAATTCCCATGTAAGTTTATGCACAATTCCTTATTTTCTTCCCTATTTCGTTGGTCTTGTTTAGCCATCTCTACATCAACACGATGCTGTTCTTATTTCTTTAACTATTAGTCTCGATACCTGGTGAGGAACAAGTGGTAAAACTGTACAAGCTTTAATTCTCTTAAGGTTTTATATGTAAGTCTAGCTCATCTACCTATGGCACTGATTTTATTTCTCTACATTCATTTCTTACTCTTGTCTTACTTTATTGTTAATACTTTCATTATAGTGCTGATTACAAAGAGGTACTCCATATTGTGTTCTGATATTTTTGATATTTTCACATTGCTTGCTGTATTTTATTAGTTAATACTTATTATATTAAGGAAGCTTCTTTATTTATAGTTTGCTAACAGTTTTAAAAATGAATGATGATCAAATTTAACCAAATGTTTCTATATATATATTTTTTCCTTTGGGATTATTAGATATCAATGTGTAAGTACTAAAAAAACCCCACCTCATTATTAAAGCTTTCACTACCATCTTTATAAAGGGACAGCCTTTCCCCATTAGTTAGTGCATTGCCTTGGTCTCCATTCTCTTTTCCATGGCACTTATCATCATCTGCCATTATATACTTATATGTTTAACTGTTTATTGCCTATTTTCCCCCAAGAGAATATAAATTCATTGAGAGCAGACAGACCTTTATTTTTTTCACTAAACTACCCTACATCATTTGAGCAGAATATTTGTATACCAAATTAGTACATGGGATATAATTAGTTAGTGTATATAAATGAGTAACTTAATGTATAAGTGAATAAGCCTATTTTTTCTTTTTCTGTCATTATCTGATTTTGATATTGTTATTCGGACTTCATGAAATGAAATGGGAAACTATCAAACATTTCGTATAGGTGTATTTATTCCTTTGGATTTGTTATGGCCTAGTGCTTTCTTGTGGGTGATCATGACCAATGAGTTTGATTTCTTTAATGTAATAGTTCTTAGGTTTCTAAAACATTCCTTCTTGAGCTATTTTTGGTAGTTCGTGTTTTTCTATAAAATTGATCTTGTCTACATTTTCAGATTAGTTGGTATATTAGTTTACTACCGTTGCTGCAACAAATCACCACAGACTTAGTGGGTTAAAACAACACAAACTTACTACCTTACAGTCCCGGAGGTCAGAGGTCTAACATGAGCAAACAGGGCCTCTTCCAACGTCTGTAGATGTGCCGGCGTGACGTGGCTCACAGCTCTACTTGAGTTTCACCCTCCTGCCTTTCCCTGTGACTTGAAGGACCCACCGGGAGCACGCACCATACTCTCCCATCTCAAAATCTTTAACGACATCTGCGAAGGCCCTTTTGCCATTTTCACGGGTATTAGGAGGTAGGATATGGACATCTTTTGGAGGGGCATTATTCTATGAACACATATTTTTATTGTATTTTATCCCCTCTCTCTAGACGTTGCTCCCCCCATTTCAAAATGTGTTTATTTCTGTCATTATCACATATTCTCTGTCTGAATCAACTTGTGTGATATTTGTCCACTTCAAAAACTACACCCTCACAGCTCCGGCAGGACTGCGGGGTTTATCATAAAGCCTGGAAAGTCACGGTCAGCCATGCTGAGAATTTTGTTCTAGTTATTTTTTCCCTATCATTTCCCACTGCTTCATCAGACAAAGCCACTTTCATTGTGCTTTGAAGGGTTCTAAGTCATCCCTGGCAGGGCGCTTCCTGACCCAGCGCTGGGGGACACTGAGCATCCTCACTCTGCCTCCCAGTCTCTGAGACTGAAACCGCCGAGCTGCCCTCCTCCCCGGGGACACCCACGGAGGTGAACGCCGCACTTCGCCACGGCAGGGGCCCCAGGCCTGAGCATGCGCACTGGCCGCAGCGGACGGGTAGCGAGCACCCGGGCGCCTCCTTTTTTCAACTCCGGACCGGTCAGGCCGGTTCCGACACCTGGGGAAGGAAGGCGTCCCGCCCGTCCCCGGCCGCGAGCGGCGCAGGACCCGCGCCCCCGCCCTTTTTTCCTTCTGCTTCCAGCGCCTGGAGTGAAAGCCGCTACAAAGGCCTGGAATGAGACGAGTGTGGGATTATTGAGTCGTAAACCACTAGGGGATCCAGTCGCCCCCCAAACCAGCTTCTGTCGGAGGAGGAAGAGGAGAGGAGAAGGCAGGGAGCTGAGCGCTCCGTGTCGCCGGCGCGCGCCGCGGCCGGAGCGGCGGGGCGAGGCCAGGCCGCCTCCCCCTGCCCGGCCACGCAGCGCCTCGCCCGCGGCGGTTCCAGGCACCACACGCCCCGCCCGGGCTGCGCTCGCGGGGGCAACGACGAGCGCCAGTGGCCGCCTGCGCGGTCCACGGAGGGCGGTGCCCGCCCTCCCCACCCCCAGCACCGATTTCTGCGCGGCTGGGACACGCCGCCGAGCGGCCCGCGCTGCCCCCTGTCAACTTCGAGCAGGAGAAGCAACTTTGACAGTAGCTGCGGGTTTCGAACCCTCCTTCTCCTCGGCAGCAGTAGCCTCCAAGTCTCTGGGTTTGGGGCGGGGGGGCAGGAGTTTCCAGGGCGCATCCGCGCCGCGTCTGGCTGTTTTGAAACCTGTTTCCAGCGAACTGGGAACGGGCTTGCAGCCACTCAGTCACCGGGAGGGGAACTTCTTTCCCCTCAGTTCACCTCGGCTCGCTACTGGGTAAAACCGTATCGGAAGGATGTAAACAGGCAGGGCAACCGTTACCAAGAAGGCAATCACCCAAAGGCGGGGAGGAGCGTGGGGCTTCGTCCGGGCTTCTCCCAGTCGCAACATTTAATCAACAGTCAGGTGTTGGTTGCAACTTTTCAAGGTCAGCCACCGGGAGCGGAGAGTCTCTTTCCGAACCTTGGGGAGACGCAGCGCGCGCGTTGGGTTGGGCTGAGACATGCACAGGACGCCAGTGGATGGTAGAGCGCGAGGGTGGTGACCCCCGGACCCATCCCCCAACCTCCCCGCAATCTCCCGTCCCCCGCTGCCGGGGCGGGGGTAAGTGACATGTGTCTAACTCTCAGCAGTAACTTAGGCAGCAGGTGTCGGTCCTAAACAGGAGCCGCGGCTGCCGGGTGCGCCCTCACGGAGCCATGCGGGCCCTGGGCGCGCCTTTCACCCGCACCTCGCGGCTGCTGCCGCTGCCGCTGCCGCTGCTGCTCCTGCTGCTGCTCAGGGTTTCGGTCTCTGCTGCCCTCGGGTCCGCCCCTGCGCCCAGGAACAGAACTTGTCTGGGGGAAAGCTGTTCATCTGCACCCAACCGGCTTCGCGGCAGGGACGCCTGGGGACCGGTTGGTTCTGCAGGAGAAGACCTTCTGCTAACGCGTGAGCCCGGGGAAGGGGAGCAGGAAGCAGCGGTGCGCGTGGCGTCCTCGTGGGACCTGCCGGCGGCCCCGGGTGGTGACCCAGGTGCTGGCAGACGGGCGGAGGCGTCGGCAGCGGAGCCCTCGGGGCCTCCAGCCAGGCCGCCTGGCGCCTGGAGGTGGAAAGTTGCTCGGGACCCGGAGCCCCCTGGAGTTTTGGGGAGGGGGAACCCCACGGCTCTCCAGCTCTTCCTTCAGACCTCAGAGCAAAAGGAGAAGGGTCCGAGAGGCGCTGGCATTTCCGGGCGCAGCCAGGAGCCCAGGGTGAAGGCGGAACCCGGTGCCAGCGACCTTTATTACTGGCCGAGGAGAACCGGGAAACACCAAGGTGCCCACCGCGACCCCCTACCCGAGGCGGTCAGTGGACCCTCGGGGCGCGAGGGGCGGATGATTGCACCGCCCGGAAGGGCGCTGGCCCACAATGGGTCCTCGGGTGAAGAGGTCCACGAACGCGGGGACCCCCGCCGGGGAAACAGCACGAACCGGCGTTTGCGACTGAAGAACCCCTTCTACCCGCTGACCCAGGAGTCCTACGGAGCCTATGCGGTCATGTGTTTGTCGGTGGTGATCTTCGGAACCGGCATCATCGGCAACCTGGCGGTGATGTGCATAGTGTGTCATAACTACTACATGCGGAGCATCTCCAACTCCCTCTTGGCCAACCTGGCCTTCTGGGACTTTCTCATCATCTTCTTTTGCCTTCCACTCGTCATCTTTCACGAGCTGACGAAGAAGTGGCTGCTGGAGGACTTCTCCTGCAAGATTGTGCCCTACATCGAGGTAATGCCCTCCAGGCCGTCTCAAGCCACTGGCTTTACCCATTTCCAGGATTTATAGCAACAGAGCTGCTGCTCCACGCACCTACCTGGCTTGCTGAACCCCTTTAAATCCTTTCACTTTTCCCTGGGTCCCTCCTTTATTTCTCGTGCCAATTATTTATGCATCTATGTGTCTGTCTATCTCTCTAGCTACCTGAGAGGGGTAACCGTTCACTCATCTTCAAACTCATCTGCTCCCAGATTGTGCAATACTTATGATCTCATGTGTAGAATTATTTAGATTTAAAATTTATCTCTCTGAATATGGTATCACATATATTTCTGACTTGGCACCTGGAAGAGATTCTAGACTTAATCAATGGCCAGTCCATAGTTGTCATTATCAGAACCAACAAGAAAAAAAATTGTTTCTCTACTAGATTTCTAGGCTCCAACATGATTTTTCCCCAAAAAGATTATTGCATATTTGAAAAAATATCAAAATAGGAGTAATATTTTATTTAATAAAGGAATCCGCTTTTCATTGTCAGGTGGCCTCATGATACATTAATAACCTCCTAAATTAGTTTGTGTTTTTGGCTGTCTGCCCTGTGTCCCATCTAAATTCTCATGTAATTTCTTGTTTCTTTCTGTTTCCTCCTCAATCTGTTAACAAATTTTTTTATCTTGTATGAATGAGCTCAAGCAAAAATGCCACTTTGGCCAACCAGACACAGAATGTATTTAATATTCTCAAAGTATATATGTTTGCCACTCGTGAAGGTATAAGGGATTGGCTATTTTAAGGGATTAACACTAAGACTAGAAAATTTCTTGACTAGGGGCAAGGAATAGATTCTAACTTTAAAAAACAAAAATCTTTTTGAGTAAAAACCTGACTTGTTTTATCCTAAAGCTAGTGTCCTGCACCGTAATTATGGGCGTTGGAATTTGCTCTTTAAACGGCCTCTCTTTACACACCAGCTCTTGGAAGGAGCCCAAGAGCTTTGTTGCCAGTTGTGTTTTTAGCCAGCTGGCCCTTGATTACCTCCATTCATAGTGCCTGTTTCATTTATGGAAGCAAAAGCAGGGAAACTGTAAATATTCCTGAGCTCCTGATCCTGTCTGGCACCAGGACCAGTGACACTCTGTTCAATATTGTCGCAGGGCCTAAAGCTGGGGGATAAATAAACAGAAAACAGTGCCTACTTAGAAGGACCAAGGCAAGAGACAGTAAATAAGACCCTCTGCTCACTGGCAGGGCTCAGATGCAGAATCACTCCATGCTTGCTAAATCAGCTGTTGCTACTTCACCAGGATCCAGGCTTTCTCTTGTTGCCAAGCCCCAAGTAGCTTTGAAATATCTAATTTATTTGGTAGGCCATTCGATTTTGAATTGCAGAGCAGGTAGTTGAATTTATATTAGAGAATAGGTGTCTACCATATGCCTTTTCTAGGTCAATTTCAATTTAAAATATCTTTGATTGTTTGAATAATGCAGAAGAAATTGACATATTTAAAGAAGAGACAAAAGTAAACTGTAAAGTTAACAGGAGAGTTACCCCAATGTGAGAGGGATGTATTGACTTGTCTTAAGTGTATTGGACATGTAGAAACCTTTATCATTAGGGCAAAAAACAATAACAAAGACAAAAAAAAGAAGTTGGGGAAAGAAAACAATTTACCAAAATTCTTGAAAAAACTTTAAAAGAATCCCATTCGAACTCAGAGAAAAAGAGAAAAAAATTGATTAGTTTAATGAGACCTGTGAGTTGTGAGTGATGGTATTTATTATATATGGGTTTTAATGTTCATTTTCTAATTTCTAAGCATTTTTTTAAAATGTGTACTGTACTTTCATTTGTATTTCATCTTCTAATTTAATTTTCTGGTCTTATAATGTGTTTTGCTTTTTCCAGTGTTTTTATTTTTAATATTTCTGAGTTATTTAAAATTTTTATTCACAATTAATTTTTATTTTTTATTTTTGTTGAGGTATAACTGACATATAACATTATATTAGTTTCAGGTGTACAACATAATGTTTGATGTTTGTATACATTGTGAAATGGCCACCAAAATAAGTTTAGTTAATATCTCTTACCTTACATAGTTAAGCCTTTTCTTCTTACGAGAACTTTTAAGATCTACTTTCTTAGTGGCTTTCAAATACGTGATACATTAGTACCTGTTTTAACCATGCTGTACATTGCATTTGTGACTCATTTGTTTTGTACCTGGAAGTTTGAACCTTTTGACCCCCTATATCCATCTTTTTCACCGCACCCCCTTGTTCTGCTTCTGGTAACCATCAACCAGTTCTCTATATTTATGAACTCGATTTGTTTTTTTTTATTTTTTAGAATCCACGTATAAGTGAGATTATATAGTATTTGTCTTTCTGTTTGACATATGTCACTTAGCATAATGCCTTCAAGACCCATCCATGTTGTTGCAAATGGCAAGATTTTATTCTTTTTTCATGGCTGAATAATATTCCATTGGGTATATGTGCTACACCTTCTTTATTCATTCATCTGTTGGTAGATACTTAGGTTGTTTCTGTATCTTGGCTATTACAATTAACACCGCAATAAATATGAGGGGACACACATCTTTTTCAAGTTAGTGCTTTTGTGTTCTTTAGAGAATTTTCCAGAAGCAGAATTGCTAGATCATATGGTAGTTCTATTTTGAATTTTTTTTAAAAATCTCCACACTGTTTTCCATAGTTACCACAATTTATTTTTACTGATCTTTACACATTTTCTCTCCCATCTTCTTTTTTGCCTTCTTTTCCTTTTCAACCACATTTCTTTTATTTTCTACAATGTATTAGCATAATCTTAAGGGGGTAGTGGAATTTTGTTTGTGCATAGAAAAACAGAAGACATTTCTTTAGCAGAAATTACAGATCTTCGCAGTTTGCACTCAGCTCTTTATTTTCATTTGTTGTTATAAGGCCTGATGAGAGCACCCTGCTTTCAGGATTTATCACCAGAAATGGAGATTTTTTAAAAATCATATTTAATATTGATTGGAACAGAAATATACTAGGAACTGTTGTAGTTGATAACTTATTCCGGGATTATGATGCCTTTGTGGCCTAGTGATAAGTCCCATAAGGACCAAAGGCAGATAGAGTGGTACAAAAGGAGACTAGGAGAGGAGGAAATATGGATGGATGGTAGCCATCCTTACAGATACATTATTTTAAACTGGTTTATGAGATAGTCATCAGAGAAAATACTATACTCAAACCAATATAGTGGGAGAGAGAGGGAACCAGCGAGCCAGGGAGTGGAGGGAGAGATGGAATGGAAGTCTGGCAGGGGGCTGCAGTAGGGGAAAGGCAGAGGGGTCCCTATCACGGCATTCCCTTAAGGATCTAAAAAAGGTTAAAGTCAAGTAATTCAGGCATTGGATGTGGCAACACAAAGGGCCCTTTGCTCATTCCTTGGTGGAAGCCAACCAGAGTCAATGTATCATCTGATCCAGGTCTTAATTGGAGGCTTTGAATTATATAGACTCTTAGTTTAAAGAACACACACTTTCATGGTGTGTGGTAAGGGCAGAAGGCATCAAATAGTTCTAAGATAATCCCAGTCCCTACTGTGTTTTTTAAATTTTTCTTTTACTGGGATACAAGATTCATAAAGGAAGGTGGAAAATGAATAAAGAGAATGCATCTCACCAGGGCCTCAGGACTAGGGAAGATTTGTGAAACGTCTGGAATCTCTTGTATTGAAAAGAGCCAGATTTTCCAATGGCTTTAGAAATGCTGGTTTGAAACGGAATGAAACAAATGGCCCTTTCATTGCCTTAGATTGTAGTTAGCGTTGGCAGGTAAGAAAGGATGGTTTTGGAAGCTGAAGTCGATAGTGCCGCACAGTTATGGGACTCTACACAGATGTCCCTAGCATCTCTACATTCAAGTGATAGCACATCTATCACGGCAGATGGTACATTTGCCTGAGCAGTGGAGTAGCCATTAGGTCTTCTAATGGACTTTTAAGTGGAAACATACAGTTTTATGAGCAATTTGAAAGTTACTAATAATATTCTCAGGGAAAATAGACTCAGTGTGTGAGAATAGTACTTAACAAATATTTTATGACTTCCCATTAATCCCTTTGTACTCATTTTCTGCATTCCCAGGCAAATGAAACTATTTAGCCGATAACTCCTGCAGAAAGCGAAAGAAGCTACAGAGTGTGCTCTTCTTTAGAACTTCATAATGAACAGGGTACGGTGAAGTTTACTGAATTTGGGTCCCACGCAAGAAATAAAAGCTTTATGACATTCAAATGTGAAATTCAAATAATTTTCTTAACTATTGATAATGCCATCCTTTCTAAAGCTTGGCAATGAGTTATACACAGGAATGTGATTTTTCTTTACTTCTCTTCTAGAAATATTAGTTGACATTCAGCTTTTAGGGATTACATATAGAATAGCCGCACCCATCGACTGATTAAGGAACAGTTTGAATAATTTGTTTCCTATCATCCTTCTCCATATACGTCATCATTCATTCACTTGTTCACCATCCATCCATCCATCAAACATTTGTTGGGCTTTTTTTTCCTATGATAAACACTATGTTAGGAGTGGAAGAGGGAGGGGAAGAGCTGAAAAAATGTCCAGGATGAACACATAGATGAGTTACTGCTACTAACGTTTATAAGAAAGTAAAGAGATGTTTCAGCATGTGATGAATACTATAATAAAGATTTAAACAAGGCTTTAAAAAGATTTAAACTTTATGAAAGTTCAGAAATGGCCCTGGAATGAGTCAGCTCACAACCGTACTTGGTTATGACCAAAGGTAGAACAATTAAAGTAAAAAACTGTGCTCCCTTATTCTGTTTGAACGATATTTTTACAGTTTGTTTTCATAAATGCCATACAGCCTAGGTCTGTGGTGAAAAGTTACATCTATGAAAATCTTAACTCTTCCATTATTGTTTGCCCAGTCTTTCCTGAGATAGGAGACTCATAAGAATAATTGGCAAAATAATT